CTCTGTCCTTTGGAATGGTCTAAATTAGCTCAGCTCATTACCATGATATAGATCATATTTGTTCATTGGAATGGTCTAAATAAGCTCTGCTCATTAGCATAATATAGATCATATCTGTCCATTGGAATGGTCTAAATTAGCTCTGCTCATTAGCATGATATAGATCATATCTGTCCATTGGAATAGTCTAAATTAGCTCTGCTCATTAACGGGCTTATAGACCATCTCTGCTCATTGGAATGAATTCAATTAGCTCTGCTCATTAGCATGATATAGATCATCTCTGTCCATGGAATAGTCTAAGTTAGCTCTGCCCATTAGGATAGTGTAAACTATCTTTCCTCTTCACATGACATAGGGGGCGGTGGGGTAACCTAGTAGTTAAATCGTTCTCTCGTCACGCCGAAGATCCGGGTTCGATTCCCCACATGTACAATTACATCTAAATATCTGATGGCCCTAAAATCAGACATCTCACCTTTAACCCACAAATCGAATCGGACCGTAGATGGAGCCTAAAAACAAATACATCACAAAACAGAAATACCTCCCGGGACCAATAACCTTCTGAAGTAACATGCCACACTGAAAACATTATTTTGTTGATAGAGAGAGTGTAAGTTCCCAGGAATGAAAAAATATGGACCTCCAACTTTTGTACATTAATAACAATTTCCTTGCCCCTTCCACCATCTAAACGCTTATAGTAGAATTAATGAATGACATGTCATTGTTTCTTTTCAAAAGTCATTGACCTTTACTGAGCGCCATGTTGATATACTATTCATCCAATACCATTGTTCAATGCCCCTGTGAATTTACCATGTGTTTTAACATAAGGAACTGAAATATATTGCTTGTAGATTTGCGTCTCTATGGGGGACGTAAAATAAATGATCTGCACGATTTGTGTAAGAGGGAGGTCACCGTATATTTTAAACCAGTAAGACACAGGAATATTTGTTCACACCATGCTCGTACGTTCGTTCATAATGTAGTTATTGTTTCCTTTTTGTTATTTATTCATTTTTTTCAAGGATAACGTTTTGAGGGGGAACGCCACTAGAGGGTGTGTAACTGACAAGCGCGTTTTCCACGTGCAAAGACAAAGTAACAAGGATTCTTCAATTAGGGGTGATGGTGAGCGAGTTTAGTTTTACGCCGCTTTTAGCAATCTTCCAGCAATATCACGGCGGGGGACACCAGAAATGGGCTTCACGCATTGTACCCATATGGGGAATCGAACCCGGGACTTCAGCATGACGAGCGAACGCGTTACCCACCAGGCTACCCCGCCGCCCATCCAGGAGGGCGGAAATCCGTCAGATGAACGAGTTAATTGTTCTCAATTCTAACCATGTGTATGAGTGGGTGACGAAAGAGTATGGTTTTACGCCGCTTTTAGCAATATTCCAGCAATATCACGGCGGGGGACACCAGATATGAGCTTCACACATTGTACCCGCGTGGGGAATCGAACCCGGGTCTTCAGCGTGACGAGTGAACGCTTTAACCACTGGGCTACCCAACCGCCCCCATGAATATCAAATACGAACACAGCAGGCATACACTGAAATGAAAATGGAGAGAACAGAACTAGATCGAAATATACCGAGGTCGTAGACAGAATCAGATGTTTTATCACGTCTGTTATTGATATATTCGTTTTTCTAGAAAACTACAAACCGAACGGTCATTACATAAACCAATAGCTGCCTATCAAACTGTTAAGCTTTTAAATGAATACTTTCGCGGTGATCGTGGCTTCATACAGATTCTATGTCAGTGTCGAATCAATCAGGCTTTTTAAAGTGTCATTAATACTCTCGTGAATTGAACATTTGAATTCAATTGCTGTAATGGACCGCTGCATAGTTACATTTCCATGTTGAAACTGTCTGTTTCCGGCCTTGTTTGTTGTTTAACGCCGCACTCAGCAATATTCCAGCTATATGACGGCGGTATGTAAATAATCGAGTCTGGACCAGACAATCCAGTGATCAACATCATGAGCATCGATCTACGCAATTGGGATACGATGGCATGTGTCAACCAATTCATCGAGCCTGACCACCCGATCCCGTTAGTCGCCTCTTACGACAAGCATGGGTTGCTGAAGACCAGTTCTAACCAGCATCTTCGCAGGTTCTGTCTTAGTAGAACATGTCAGGTGCAATGCGTAACCTCATTTCTAGTGTTCCCCGCCGTGGTTCGCATGGCACATTGCTGCGGCGTAAAACTATGATCATTCACTCAATAGTAGATCATGCGAAACTATGAGAGAAAATATTTGTTACATCAGAATTAAAAGATGTGTGTCAGATGGTATAATTTCACATATATATTCAACAAGTACCGTAAATCCTTCAAAGAAAACGTGGTGATTCTGCTCAGTTTGGAGCACGTTCGATCTGGCGTGTTTTCGAGTCAGGTATTTATTTTTATCAGAGATCACAGAAATGTCTATTTGGTGTGGGATTTGTTTTATAGATCTCTTATCGATTTTTCACAGGGGACAGAGTGTCAGTGTTTGACAAGTGTTTACTCAAGGAACATGTTTATTCGTGATAGATGTTTTTTTATCTTTTGATCCGTTGGTTACCTTGTTTTATTTAAAGCAGATTTTAATTAATGGATTTCCGGTATATAGAATAAACATCGCTTGTTTCATTCGACTGATAGATAATTCTGAATATGAAATAGTATTCCCCAATGTCATGTGTCAACTATAACCCTATGTGTGAAATAAGTCATTAGTATTCTCAGTGTAAATTTCTTGTGTAGAAAACTCATGCCCTAATTATTTGTCCTCGGTATATACTCGGTATTTAAAACAAGAGGGTTGTATACTTTATGTTTGGCATACACTCGCTATTGGAATCAAAGAAGGCCGTAGATGTATACCGTCTCTTCAGTATAAACTCAGAATTTGAAACATGAGTGCCGTATACTTTAAGTTCAGTATATACTCAGTATATCAAACATAAGAGTAGTGTACTGTATGTTCAGTATAAACTCGGAATTTGATACATGAGTGCCGTATACTTTGTTTAGTATATACTCAGTATATCAAACATGAGAGTAGTATACTGTATCTTCAGTATAAACTCGGAATTTGATACATGAGTGCCGTATACTTTGTTCAGTATATATTCAGCATATCAAACATGAGAGTAGTATACTGTATCTTCAGTATAAACTCGGAATTTGATACATGAGTGCCGTATACTTTGTTTAGTATATACTCAGTATATCAAACATGAGAGTAGTATACTGTATCTTCAGTATAAACTCGGAATTTCATACATAAGTGCCGTATACTTTGTTTAGTATATACTCAGTATACCAAACATGAGAGTAGTATACTGTATCTTCAGTATAAACTCGGAATTTGATACATGAGTGCCGTATACTTTGTTTAGTATATACTCAGTATATCAAACATGAGAGTAGTATACTGTATCTTCAGTATAAACTCGGAATTTCATACATGAGTGCCGTATACCTTGGTAAGTATATACTCAGTACATCAAACATGAGAGTAGTATACTGTATCTTCAGTATAAACTCGGAATTTGATACATGAGTGCCATATACTTTGTTCAGTATATACTCAGTATATCAAACATGAGAGTAATACACTGTATGTTCAGTATAAACTCGGAATTTGATACATGAGTGCCGTATACTTTGTTTAGTATATACCCGCTGTATGAAACATGAGAGTAGTATACTGTATGTTCAGTATAAACTCGGAATTTGATACATGAGTGCCGTATACTTTGTTTAGTATATACCCGGTGTATGAAACAAGAGGGTTGAATACGTTCTGTTCAGTATAAACTCGGTATTTGTAACAAGAGGGCTGAAAACTTTCTGTTCAGTATAAACTGGATATGTGAAACAAGAAGGTCATTTACTTGATGCTCAGTATATACTCGGTATTTGTAACAAGAGGGCTGAAAACTTTCTGTTCAGTATAAACTGGATATGTGAAACAAGAAGGTCATTTACTTGATGCTCAGTATATACTCGGTATTTGTAACAAGAGGGCTGAAAACTTTCTGTTCAGTATAAACTGGATATGTGAAACAAGAAGGTCATTTACTTGATGCTCAGTATATACTCGGTATTTGAAACGAGGGAGCTGAATACTTTCCCTTCAGTATAAACTCGGTATTTGAAACGAGGGCTGAATACTTTCTCTTCAGTATAAACTCGGTATTTGAAACGAGGGCTGAATACTTTCTCTTCAGTATAAACTCGGTATTTGAAACGAGGGCTGAATACTTTCTCTTCAGTATAAACTCGGTATTTGAAACGAGGGCTGAATACTTTCTCTTCAGTATAAACTCGGTATTTGAAACGAGGGCTGAATACTTTCTCTTCAGGATAAACTCGGTATTTGAATCAAGAGAGCTGAATACTTTATGTTCAGTATATACTCGGTATTTGAAACGAGAGGACAGTATACTTTCTCTTCAGTATAATCTCGGTATTTGAAACGAGAGGACAGTATACTTTATGTTCAGTATAGTCTCGGTATTTGAAACGAGAGGACAGTATACTTTCTTTATATTCCATCCTAATTAGCTTAACTCTAATCCTAACATCCACGGCCACTCCTCCCGAATAAAAACCAAGGGGAAAGAGGGATGGGAAATTAAGTGCTTCAAGGATACCAGGAAAGGATTTTGTTAGGATAAGGGTTAACGTTTACAAACCCCTGCGTAATGCCGGGTTATACAAATACTGAACTGTGCCGGGTTGTGTTATATGAAACAGTTATATGATGATTTGGTTTTATCTGAATCCATCCTTCTTAATCTCAAACAGTTTTCAAATACAGGCTTATGTTCGTTTCTAGACGTCAAACTTGAAAACAAATCAAAATCACAACCTGCGTTCCATCTCCACAAGAAGCAGGTTGTCCAGATTTTAGTTGAGTTTATCAGTATTATGATTATAAGAAAAGAAAGAAATAGAAATGTTGAACAAACCTTGAACGTGTGCAGTCCCTGGTATCTCATATAGCGGTATGTTACTTTAACAGTTGAGAGGGTGACTACAAGCAATGCTGTGGGCGCTTTGAGGCGACGTTTCCCAGAGATCAATGTTTTGCATTATCGCGGAGTGAGTGTTGATCACGTGGGCTGGACCGTCATGTCCGGTCGATAATCGCCTTGAAGCGATAAGGGCTCGTGTTGGTTTGGTCAGTGTGTTTATACACTACAATCAGTAAAGTATTTAAGATATATCACTGAGGCCTGTAACTCAACTAGTGGTTGATACCATGAGCAAACATCATTTGTTTGTTTGTTTGTCATTTAAGCTGCACTCAGCTCTATTCCAGGTATTCTCCCGCAGATCCTCAGAGTGAGTGAGTGAGTTGGATTTTACGCCACTTTTAGCAATATTCCAGCAATATCACGGCGGGGGACACCGGAAAGATCCTCAGAGACTGTTGTGACTTTCAAACCTTTAGATCCAATCTAATAACACACATGTTCAAGACAGCCTATCAGCTGTAACTGTTTGCCTTAATGACATTTTAAGTTGTGAGCTTTGAGCATGATTAGTCATGGATATAAGCGCGGTACAAATATGCTATTATTTTGGTGTCAGTCTGTAAGTAGCGACACAAATTGACCCCACAATCCAGTGATTCACTTCAGTCGATATGCAACTGGGATACGCTGACCAGTATCCATCAACGAGGTCTGCAAGCCTGACTGCCGGACCCCGTTAGTTGCCCTATTACGATATAAGCATGGGTTGTTGAACACCACCTCTAACCCGTATCTCCATTGGTCTGCCAGGACTTGATAACACTTCATCCATTGTAACAATCTCCCAAATCCGGACTCTGTGTAATCCGGTTTTCTCCATAATCCGGGCTACTCCCGGCAAAATTATTCTTAATTTATCATTAAAGCGTGCTATATAATCCGGACTCTCTCAATTGCGGTTTTCAGACTAAAATAACAGTCCCGACGATCAACTTGCTATGAGAACAATGTTTAAATAACAGTCCGTTAAATAAACATCTCTGTTACTTAGTTCACAATGGTTTCATTGTATTACGTGGAAATTTACAGGGGCAGAAGCAATTCATGTTAACAGACTTTTTCCAACGAAAGTATAAATAATATATTGAGTATAAATAAAAACCAAAAAAGAACGATTGAAGTTGTTCGTTGTCATTAACAAAGGGAGGTAACTCATTGTGGCAGTCAAGAAGGTAACGGACAAAAGTTGTCTAATCCGGACTGCTTTACAATCCGGACAAATGAGTCGGTCCCAGGTCAGTCCGTAATAGACAGATTCCACTTACGGTATCCTCTAAAATCGGCTCTGATGACAATCACCAGGCACTGGGGTCCTACACCACACCGGTACTAAAGCAAACGTCACAACACTGACAATTCTACACTTTATAAATATGCATATTTTTAGCAAGACACGTAATAGGGGAGAGAGAGAGAGAGAGAGAGAGAGAGAGAGAGAGAGAGAGAGAGAGAGAGAGAGAGAGAGAGAGAGAGAGAGAGAGAGAGAGAGAGAGAGAGAGAGAGAGAGAGATAGAGAGAGAGATGGAGAGAGAGAGAGAGAGAGAGAGAAGCGTCGAGCAGTGTCCGTTTTCCCAAACCCACATACCTTATGCAACATTTAGCAGTTAATTCTAAATAGGCAGCATTCGAGTCTACAGCAGCTCGTGTCAGTGTCAAACGGGCTATCAATCTGGATTAGCATACGCCCTGTACAGCGGCGACCGCTTCTAGCAATGTTACGTAGTGTTACTGTGAAATATGGTGTACACTCAAACAGCATTCAGACCATACTTGCATTTATTCAATTAACGCTGCCTGATATGCGGAGTGGTGTAGTCACGGCATCCTTCCCTGATGCCATGGTCAGATCCCATGTAGCTAAAGCTTGCCGTCAGACATGGTGCAATTGTTGATTGCTTGTCATCGTCCTAGACGGCGTGTTCATTACATCAATCACTGGTTTTTCTGACATACTATGTTTTTCAAGATATGATATAGCTGGAATATTGCTGAGTGCGATGTTAAGCAATATTAGCTCACTCATCCTTTCGGGTACCCATCTGCCGCTGAGCAAACAAAAGTACATATATTTCGGCGGTACTCGAGCCTTCGGTCCTCAATCAATTCATGATCTCAGAAGTCGCCGTCAACCCCAGTTCGATTCTCAACATGCTTGGAGCCCATTTCTGGTTTCGGTTGATACGATAATAATATAACGGTCTTGTTTGGTGTTTAACGCTGCAGTCAACATTGTTACACTATTAACAACTATTGTAAATGATCGAGTCTGAACCAGACAACCCAGTGATTATTCCTTAACTACTCTTATGCAATTAATATAAATACTCCATTCAACAGGGATTGTTAAACTGTCACAAAAATGGATAATTGTACAGTCGTAAAAGGATATTTTCTGAAAGGTTTTTTTTCTGAAACACCTACAGCCGTTGATTAGTAAATACATGTATAACACACACCTTCTGTTAAGCGTTATTTACAGCTACTCATGATCAATCTCCAGGTGTTAATTATTCACTAAATGCACGTAAAACACAATCCTTCTGAAAAGCGCTATTTACACCAACTCAATATCCAGGTATATATCCAAGATTAATTAAAATCACGACAAACCCTGCTTTGTCAGAAATGAGATTTCATTAGGAATAGGGCGATTATGAACACTGTTTACGGTGTTTAAAACCCGGATTTTCCTGCTAAAGTCATTAATGCGTACAATTGAAACTAATTACCAAGTCAAAAGCTTACCTAAAACCCTGTAAACTATGTTTAAGCGTGAACATAAAACTACCAATACATGACATGTTTTACATAACAGAATATTTTATTCACATTCCTCCAGCTTGCAGTTGCCTATAAAAGACTTCATCAAAATCGTCAATGTCAGTTTTGTTAAAACGGGATAGTGCTTGCGAAACTGGAACATTATTACATGGACTCCCGACATTCTAACTCTGACATCAAATATCAATCTATTAATCACTCTTCAAGGGTTTTACCATTCCCGGAACCAATAAAAAACGCATTATCTTAATGTGGAGTGACGTTTGTCGGGATTTGGGTCCTTCATGCAGGAAAATTATTCTTTGCTTTTTAGCTGGGATGATGGAAGCCACAATGTGCCGACCAACGTGTAACAATGGCGCCCCGTTAACCGGCAACCACTGTCATTTATTAAACGACACGGTGAACTTGTGTTAAATGCAATCTGGCTGTGTTAATACTCAGCTATGGTTTACACCAGTGGTTTTGGTTTGGTTAGAATCAGACCGAACACGTGTACGCTGCTGTCTACTAGTGAAAGCGAATTACAAACTGATTCCATAAATGGTTCGATTCGATTCAACGAATTTACGAGCGAATCGCAACAGCCTACTGGATCTACGCCTCTGTACACAATTTACCGTTAAAAAAACTCCTCAAGTATAATTATTTATTGTCTTTGAAAAGACCTTTTCCTAGTAGGCACTGACAGTTCGTTGTAGTTTATTGGTTTGTTGTTTAACGCCGCACTCAGCAATATTCCAGCCTGTTATTCATAAAAGTTCGATAAATATTCAATGTAAAGATTGACTGATTGATTGTTTTGTTGCTTAACGCCACACTCAGCAATATTCCAGCTATATGGCATCACTCTGTAAATACCCGTGAATATCCGGGTGAGAATGAACCTTCAGCTACCCATGCTTGTCATAAGGGGCGACTAACAGGATCGGTGGTCAAGGTCGCTGACTTGGTTGACACATGTCATCGGTTCCCAACTGCGTAGATCGATGCTCATGCTGTTGATCACTGGATTGTCTGGTCCAGACTCGATTATTTACAGACCGCCGCCATATAGCTGGAACATTGCTGAGTGCGGCGTAAAACTTAACTCACTCACTCATTCACTTTTACCACTTAGTTGTAAATCCTCGAACTGGGGTGTTACAATACTACGAACAATCATGCAGAATCTGAGATTCAAACTCACGATCAGCTGCAGCTCAGACAAGTGCACCACCCGCGCTCCCGGAGCTGTTGGGGAAAATTAGGATGAATCGAGATGATCATCCCGTCGGGAATGTGGTGATTAGTTGTTGACAGGATACCGAAAATAATTAATATATTGTCAAGACATTTACCAAAAGCATCATGTTACAAAGTTTGTTTATCGGGAAGATGATTAAAGATATGCATTCTAAAGTTTTGTGAACAAACTAACATTTTGTGTGTCAAACTATAATTTTTAAGTTGAACTAAAACCTGAAAATATTGGCAGTAAACTGTTATTAAAAACTGACCGGCTCCTTGTGCGAGTTCAATGGAGTAGGGTCATTCTGGATTGGGGAATAAGTTGGATGAGAGACCTGTCTTTAACAAAACTCCCTGAAGTGCCAATGTCACCATGGAAACGTTGATATTGCTAAATGAATGCATTTGAATTGAGACGGAAACAAATTGCCACGTGTCACTTCAAAGTCTTATCCCACTGACAACCACTAAATGGTGGACATAATTCATATACTTGCTCAAAGCGAACGAATCCCTGGCGTCCGCAGAGCAATGGGACTTTCAATGTAACGTCAGTTTCAGGTGCCGAGCGTACCTTTTGCCAAAGGGTTTGCGACAGCAGGCAATAGGGCTGCAACGAATCCGAATTATTGTAGAGTAAGGAATACGAATATTGTTTTTACGATTACAATAGTGAGTGAGTGAGTGAGTTGGGTTTTACGCCGCTTTTAGCAATATTCCAGCAATATATCGGCGGGGGACACAAGAAATGGCCATCACACGTTGTACCTATGATGGGCGTCGAACCCGGGTTTTCGGCGTGACGAGCGAACGCTTTAACCACTAGGCTACCCCACCGCCCCCTACGACATTCTACGACATTCCTAAGCCTATTGTAAATTATAGTGAGTGAGTATGGTTTTACGCCGCTTTTAGAAATATTTCAGCGATATCACGACGGGGGACACCAGAAATGGGCTGTATAAGTTGTTCACTGGTCACGAGGGGGGCATGGTTTGATGTACCCATGTAGATTTTGCTGACTAGAAAAACAGATTTAGAGTTATCTC